CTGGAGGTTAAACGCCACAGACCTGTTCAGTGAGGTTCTGTCTTCAGGGACCCTGAGGTCCAAATGGGAAGTCTTAACCAGTCTTTGTACCATTTTTTTCATATCTCTGGTTTCCACGCAAAATGACACGTTACGTTTTGTTGTTTTCCGGGGTCTCTAGTTCGAAGGGAGCGAGTCCCTGTCCAACAGCAACCTGTGTCAAAGGTCACGACCCAGCAGCGACCTCAACAACAGCTCCACGCAATCGCCTGCCCATTCCAAAGTTCAGCGCAGCATATCAGCCAATCAGAAGCAGCGTCGGTTCAGCGATCATGGTGGGTGTGACATTCAGCTACACGAACAGTTGCCTCCTCTAAATGTCCCATGCAGCATTTTTTTATGGCTCCCTCTACTGGCCAGCTGGCGCTGTAGCTAGCTTCCACAATACCTTCCAAACTACCAAGCCTTCAAATCTCGCAAACAAGATTATTTAAGAAGTTAATACAAAATAAGTTCTGTATCACTCTGTTTTTTTGGCACATTGAACCTTACTGAAGCAGAAGATTTGAAAGAATTTGTTTTCCTGCCCACACAATTGGACTGGGGTTTGGGTTGAGTGTTTTGTGTTGCTGTGGATATTGGTACTAGGATAGATAATCTTCTTAAATATATAAAAATGTTTCTGGCAGCATCATAAACCACCAGCCTGGCAGACTATTTGCAAAGTAGTGAAGCTCCTCCATTATTAAGGCCTGGATTTTCAGTAATTAGACGTTCTCTGATTTTCAGGCTGATGCAATGGGATATTATCCATGATGAGTACATGGAAAAGAGGCATGTGACGCAGCCTCAAACCAGCAGGGGGCAGTGTGGTCAGCGTTTGGTGTACATTACTGGTAAATACGTGTGTGTATGTGTATGTGTGTGTGTGCTTTTGCAGTGGGTCCCACGGTGCCGACAGCGGTCTCCCACACCAAGCGCGCCCAAGCCAACAGCGTGGAGGGCGAGCAGAAGGAGGACTGGGACAACACAGGGAAGCTGGGCACCTCCAGCTCCAAGGTGGAGGTGCCGACATCCCCGGGGGTCCTGCCAGACCGCAAGAAGTCCTCCACGGCACCTGGGGTGAGGGCACTGACTTACTGAGCTGGAGGGGTGGGGGAGCGGAGGTCATGTGAGCATGCTGACCTGTGTGTGTGTGTGTGTGTGTGTGTGTGCGTGCATGTGTGCGAGCGGGTTTATCTATCCTTATGGGGACACAATGTCCCCATAACGTGATAAATATCCATTTTTTTTCCTTTATGGGGACCGGTTTCCTGGTCCCCATAAGGGAAAACTCTATTTTATAAAAAACGGTGACTGCTATGAAAAAACTAAAAATGCAAAAACTCTTGTATTTTGTTAGGTTACTTATGGTTATGGTTAGGGCAGGGTAGGGGTTAAAGTTAGCGTTAGCATTTTTCCCATTGAAATGAATGAGCGGTCCCCATAAGGATATGTTTACCCTACATGTGCGAGTGGGTGTGTGTGTGTGCGTGCGTGTGTGTGCACGTGTGTGGCTTTTGTGCATACCAAATGTCCCACAATGACATAAAAAACCTATTTAGACCATTTTTTCAGTTCCCACAAGGGGAATCTCAATTTTATACAAATCTGTGACTGCTATCATGAAGCAGGCAGGATATCATGTATTTTGTTTGGTTACTCTTGGTTAAGGTTAGGGCTGGGTAGCGGTTAGAGAGCTGAGGGTTATAAGCCAGGTGTAACTCATGACTGATGTCACCCTCCCCCCCCCACAACAGGCCAACTCTTTGTCTGCGGGGGGCATGACACGCAGGAACACATATGTGTGCGAACGCTCCAGCACTGAGCGCTACGGTGCCATCCCCAATGGGAAGGAGAGCAGGTGAGTGCCGACCCCCCCCAATGCCACACATTGTAAGACTGGGGGGCGGTCCAAGATGCTTATCACAAGGGTGATGGGGAGGTAACATTTGCGGTGTTTGGGGAGCCAAAATCCCCACATCCTGAATGACATAAAAAAGATTTCGGTTGAGTACCAGGGTTGTGAAACAGCAATTTTCTGACCCTCTCTCTCACTCTGTCCCTCCCTCGCTCTCTCGTTCTCTCCTCCCCACCCCCGCCCTTCCTCCTGTCACAGCCTGACAGAGATGTCTGTGTGCACTAGCAGCACCCCGTCACCAGGGGGCGTGCCGGCAGCTGTGCCCTCCACCCGGCCGCGCCACGTCAAGTCCATGTCCACCTCAGGCCACCCGGGCAAGGCCACGCTCCCGCCCATCGAGGACAACAGCGAGTTCCGGCCCAGGTGAGTGTGGCCAGGGGGACGGGGGGGCATGTTTTTGTTTGGGTTGTTAGACTTCTAATCCTTAAGTAGCACTAGGTTTGATTAGATTCTGATTTTAATTGATGAATTAATAGATGTTTATTAAAATAACGAGGGTCTTGCATGGGAGTTCTTTGGAAAGAGATCAGCCATGACCGCTTGTCCCCGTAGCTCCGCCCCCCGGCCCCCGGCCGCCTCCCCCTCCGCCCACAGCATCAGCAGCACCACTCCAGACCGCACCCGCTTCCCGCGTGGCAGCACCAGCCGCAGCACCTTCCACGGCGCGCAGCTACGCGAGCGGCGCAGCGCCACCTATAACGGGCCGCCTGCCTCGCCCACTCTGTCACATGACACGGCCGCCCTGGCGCAGGCCCGCCGCGGCACGTCCACCGGCATCATCAGCAAGATCACCTCCAAGTTTGTCCGCAGGTCAGTGGCCCCGCCCCCTCGTCCCCAGACTCCGCCCCCACTCTTGGTTTGGGACTCCCTGCAGAACATTCAGTGCAATGCTTACAGTGATCATAGTGGTCACGTTAACAGATCACTAGGTACGGGCCTCTGGGAGTGATTCCCGTTAAAGACGCCAATAACTCTGACGTCAAGGCTTCTCTGTGATCTCTCAAACACACGAGAAGCACAGATGTTGGTCCTGCACTTTCTGAGATGGGCTCCAGGCTCACAGGAACGCCTGCAACTGGATAAGTGGCCAAAATAAATAAATAAATGGATGGATGGATGGATGCGTTTAGCAAGAACAGGGAACGTGGATTCGGTTTCTGAAATGAGATGCGCTGTTGTGGCGGAAAGATGTAGAAGCTGAGTGTGGCAGGGTGCCAAGCTGGTTTGTTCACATGGTAAAATGTGATTGTATCGTTTATTTGTTGCATTTTTCCCCTGGATGTTTCTCTATTCAGTGAGCATGGTGGTTTTAGTGCAGTCTGCTCACTGTGTTGACTACACCAGGCCTGTAGGCTGCAGGTGGTGGTGGGGGGGGGGGAGGGGGTCCCTCAGTTGATTCTGTCTACCAGGGGGTGGGAGGGCTCTTGATGATCATGTGCATGAGCAAATTTCTAAGGGGGTCCAGGCTTGTAATTCTTTGTCACTGGCGATGTGCCTGATTTGTAGCAAACAAATTTCAGGGGGGGGATTTAAACCCATAATTTTAATACATGGCAACACGCCTGGACTGCGCCATGAGTCTAGGACACGCTCTGCTGACTGCAGCGGCCAGAATCACAGACGGCCGCTAGCGATGCTCTCGTACCAAACGAGGCGAGCGGTGGTTGGTTTTTCCCCAAACGAATATCGACTTTCTCGTCTGGCCGCTCTTCTGTACCTCCGATATGTTTGTCTCCAGCCTTTGTCGCCCTGGACCTGATCCAGGCTAATATATTTTTAAAATGAAAGTACCAGTTAGAATTTCCTGCTCCATTATGCAAATCCTCAGGCCGAGTATAATTAGGTTCAGAGGAGAGGGGGACATTTTCTTGCCTTAAACACAATTAGCCTGTTCCACCTTTATAGTGCGGATAAGATTTCATAATGATGCAATGCATCAGCAAAACCCTGTCATGAAGCCTATAATGGCCGCAGTATTTGCGTTATCAAATTATTATCTGTAAATATAGCACATGAATGAAATCACTTTCACAACATGGCAGCAATGTCCTGTAACCGTAAGGGTGGTTGTTTTTGGGGCCATTTGAATTCCCGCAGTCTTCACAGAATGGTTGTTGATTGCTGCTCATTGATTGTTGACCATTATAGAGCTGCATCTTTTAGGAGATCCAGGACTGGCTGCTTCTATTACCACCTCCAGCCCCGGCACTAAGAGCACTGCCCCAATTTTACACAGCCCCCATTCATATTAACAGGCCCTGCCCCCTAACCCCAGCCATTCCACCCTGCCTGTGATACAAGGGGTCTCCGCCCCGCTTGTTTTCCCACCTCGGCCCTGTCCTGATGGTGGCCTGTGGTCATTCGTACACCGTTCTTGTATCTGAAGATGTCATGGTCAAGTTTATTTTTATGGCACATTTAAAATCAACCAAAGTTTTTCAGTGACACAAGCGAATGCTTCCCCTCTGTATTTTTGTGTATTCTTCCTGGGGGGGGAGGGGGGGGGTATTTAATGGTAAATGTATCACATATTTCCTAGATATAGACATATGTTGAAATATAACCCCATGGGTAGAAAGTCGTGCCATTTTGTTTTTATGAACTCATTCTGATATCTCTGAAAATCATAGGTTCTAACTCTTAAGTGCTAGTTGACCGTGTTTAAGATGGAATTGATATTGGGCATATTGTTGTTCTTATTATTGTGATTATTTATTTATGTACGTGACATAAAAGTGTATAAAACAGAAATTTCAGTAAAATCAGTAAAATCTTTCCACGCCCCGTCACAGAGATGCTGCAGACCAGAGTTCGCTTAGGGAGTGTATTTCACTCTTTATTAGGTATTGGGTGTTTTGCTTTTTAGCCCCCACAGGACGGGTGTGATACATAGGAGTTAATTAGCTCGCGCTGCAGTGGGTGTCATTCATAATAGTGTGTAGCTCAGAGTGTGAGATGTGAAACGGGAGTGTGTTGTCTGTGAGTGTGATTCCAGGTTTGCGATCTCTTAATGGGACGTACACGAAGAGATCGGCACGGTAAAAAGCTGCCATTTTTTCTGTGGTTTCTGTGCCTTACGCTTTGCCTCCTCTCCATGTTCCCTGGTGACCTAGCGTGCCTGTAGCTGGTGGGGCGGAGGGGTCCGGGCCTTGCGCTGTTTGTGGTGGTGCTGCTGCTGCACGGTGTCGCTGTTTCCCGCGTGTCAGTGCCGGCCGTAGCTGTAGTGTCTCAGCATCACGAATCCTCGTTTCAAAACTTGACGCCCACTCCCTGTGCTGTCAAGTTTTCCTTTGGGGTTCGTCTAGTGTGTGCGTCTGTGTGTGAGAATGTGCCCTAGCTTCCTCCGTGCATGTCGTGTGTGTGTGGGCGTGCCTATGTGTGTACACACCTGCAGCTGTGTTTGTGCGAGTGCCTGTTGCTGTGGCGCCCCCTGGTGCCCCACCCCGGCATTGCCCTGGCATTACCATGACACTGAACTGTCTGCTCTCGATTGTCTCCGAGGGTTCCCAGCGAAGGCGAGGCCAGTGGCCGGACAGAATTCCTGAGGTGAGAGGGCGCATTCTGAGGCTCAGCCTGCTGGTGGTTTGGGGGGGGGGGGGGCCGGGAGGGGGGGGGTTCCCATTCCATCATGTCGCATCCCATGTCACCAGGGCCTTGATCCTTGGAAGACTGACTCACCGGGATGGCTGGGAATGAGGGGGAGGTACCAGAGGTGAACTGCGGCTGAGTTCACTTTGACTAATGGCGGAAGGAGAAAATTATGGTCTGGAATGGTTCCTTCACCCAGTCGAAAAAAAAAAAAAAAAACAGATGTTTAGAGTCAGTGTGGCCCAAAATATTTTTTTTCTGTTTCTCTGTTTAGCAATATCTCATCTGGGGAGGGTTGCAGTGTGTTGGAGCTCCCTTGAGCTTGGGTGGGGGGGAGGGGGTGGACAGTGCTCCATGGGAGCATGGGATTCTGGGAGCACATGGAGTGAGAATCATGGGACAGCAGCATTGTGTGCTTGAATGAACACATCTGATTTAGGCTTTGTGCCTTGATCCTTGTTTGTTTAATCTTCATTTTCTGTAATATGGCTGTGCGTGTGCTGCAGTGAGACTCATTGTAATAAAATAAATTATTATGGATATAATACTTCTTATTCCTAGTGTGGAGATTACCTGCTGCTACTCTTAGGACCATTCAGTGGGGTGTAGAGCACAGTGATGCACATCACGCACCTGTACCCATTATGTCATCGCAACCCTCAGTTGTGGTCATCAAACGTCCACGGATCATGACGCCTTTCTCCCAGACCTCTGGGGTGTTTCTCAATATGTGTACTTCACCGTACTTGTGTTCTCGTGTACTGGTTTCATGCTATCTTCCATTGCCAAAGACCAGTTACAATCCTAAGAACAGAAGTAGAGACAGTGAAGGTCCCCGGATGTTGTTCTTGCCCTGCCCCAAATACCATTGGTTGCATCCTCACCAAATGAAACCAATCCCATAATTCATTGTGGCCCAAGTTTGTTCTTGGGAGGCAAGTTAGCAGGACTTAAGACCACAAGTATGGTCTTTGCATTCTTGGTATTGAGAAACACCCCATACCGGGACATTCTGATGGAAGCTTCCATCCTGTTCACGTTTTTCCCTTGTGCCCCCCCACCCCCCCAGGAGTGCCTCTGGGGAGTCCAAAGAGGATGGCCGGGACTCGAAGCCTCGCTCCCTACGCTTTACCTGGAGCATGAAGACCACCAGCTCCATGGACCCCAGTGACATGATGCGTGAGATCCGCAAGGTGCTGGACGCCAACAACTGCGACTACGAGCAGCGCGAGCGCTTCCTGCTCTTCTGCGTCCACGGCGACGCCCGCCAGGACAACCTGGTCCAATGGGAGATGGAGGTCTGCAAGCTGCCCCGCCTCTCGCTCAACGGCGTCCGCTTCAAGCGGATATCGGGGACCTCCATCGCCTTCAAGAACATCGCCTCCAAGGTCGCCAATGAGCTCAAGCTCTGAGGAGAAGGAAAATGAGCGTAACAAGGAGAGCTTGACCGAGAGAGAGAGGGAGAGATAGTCAGAGAACCACCCCTATTCGCCAGCCGGATTCAGGGTGGACAGCCGGGATTGTACAGTGTTAAAGTCAAATGCACAGGGTATTGGTATTTTAGGCTACTGCTGTCTTATTTGACCAGTGAAGGAAATAAGTTTTAAAAAATCTCTCGTGTCCCTCCCCACCTGCATCCATCAACTTCGTTAACTGCCAGAATAGCGTAGATGAGCAGAAGTTTATCCTCCTTGCAGGAAGCTAGTGCTTCAGGCCCAGACAGGCCATGTGGCAGAGCGATGACCTCATAGGTTATCGTGGGGGGGGGGGTTCCCCCCCCCTCCCTCCCAGCCTCGGCAATGTCCAGGGCCAATTTTTAATCCAAATGTAAATCCAGCTAAACACCCCAAAACACCCGTACAAAGAGGCAAAAATGGTGGTCTCTCCTCCACGCCCCCCCTCCCCCCCATACACATACACGTGTAGGACACACTGCTGACAAGAGTTGTACTATAATGAAAGTCTTAGCATAACATCTGCAGGTATTGTATAGTTGATTCCTGTACAGAAAATGTACGTTAGTGTCTAAAACTGTCATTTTTTGAGTTTGGAATACTTTCCTGGTATTGTCATCTGTTAAACTGTTAGAATTGACTCTGTGAATTTTTTTAACAAACATTTTAAACTGACTTTTTATGCTAAAAAGGCACTATTGCAATCTTGGAAAAAATGTAGAATAACAAATGCAAAACTGAGAGGTAACGGAACTGTATGCATCCGACCACCCCGGCCTGACTTTGTGTTTTCTGACTTTTGCTGTATTTTATTACTTATTCATTGCTTAAAGAGCAAGAAAAAAACCTAAAAGTATAATTGGGAAAAATCATTGTAGTTTTGGAGCTGAAACTATGACTTTCTTTTCTTTGTTTTTGGATTCTGCTCACGCACCGGTACAAGGGATGTTTTAATATGCCGAGACCCTAATCACACTGCCCGAATGTCATTTTGGGAAAGCAGAGTTCAGCAGGTGTGTAGGGCAATGTCCAGACCTTTGATTTGTAATTGTTATTATTTTCTAACAGTAGCTCTTGAATCGCCTTGGGCTGATTTGTATGGTTACTTGTTACGGTTTTGCTTAACTGTGCTGGATTACTATTTTTTTTTTTTTTTTTTTAGCAAAAGTGTTGTATTTATTCTGTCATATTATGCCTGTAATGTGCTGCTTTGTAATTTTGAGGCATTCACCTGTACAAGATTTAAAAAAATAGAATTTATTTGATTTTATTTAGGTATATCCCCTTTGTAATTATGATTAAAGTATGTAAAACCACTAGTTACGGTACATTTTTATGTGTTCATTTTTAGTAATTTAACCATCGGGTTAACTGTGCAATGGTATTTCATGTTGTATTACAGTAATACTTGCGTATGGTCCCAATTTTTCACACCTTAATTGTTTAACAATAGAAAAACAGTTCATTTTTTTGCAGCTCAAGATAAAGTTGAGAAGAGGATTTCAAGATATTTAAGAAAAAAAGCTGTGATCTCGGAAACCATTGTGGAGCAGAGCAGATGCCTGTGCTGGCCCACCCCAGGTGCATTGTGGGCCGACTCTGCAGGACTGTGTATGCTGTATTGTATCGCGTGATGTAACTTCCTCCCTGAGATGAAACTGCAATGCAGTGGATGTTCATTTTGTTGCCTTAGCTGATCACGACATGGCAGGAGCAAAGCGAAGGATTAAATGTGAGGACATGTCACTCCCCCTCCGCCCTGTCCTTGCCTCCACCTCCTATGGTTACCCCAGTGTTCATACGAGGACATTATGATGCAAATCATCTCGGTTCAGTCTCACTGGTGCACAATATTAAAACTTGAAGGAGTCTCAACCCTGCCTGTGTGATTTGTTATTGACCAGGTGCTTCACTGCTATTATGTATAAAAGTACAGGTCACAAATGTGGATGTTAATAATTTTACTGTTTAAAATATTTCTGAGGTGAATATGATTGTTTTTTTAGTGCCTCACCTTTATGGATTTATACATAACTGAGTATATTAATAATATAACACACACATTAATATGTAATAATATTACAAGGGGCAAATCCAGCTTTTTATAAACTGGGTTATGCTGTGCTGTTTTAGTGTTTCAGTGAAAAATTTTCAATCTGTAAATGTGGAAATAAAATGGGATTTAGCTCTTGTGTCATTAACATCTAATAAGTTTGAGATCCTGAATATCGTGCTCCCAAACACGCTACTTTCCATAACTGCTTATCCAGTGCAGAGAAACGGTGAGTTTGGAGCTTATCCCATGACACCATGGATGGGATTCCAGTCCATTACAGAACACACACTCAAACACAATCAAAAACTGTGTCCTATTTAGACACCAATTCACCTTACATTTTTTTGGACTAGGGGAGTAAAACAGAGAGAACATCTCCACACACACAGGTTCCAGACCTAGAAATTAACCCACGAATCTGGAGGTGCGAGGACACTTTGACCCATATAGAATTCTTTCTGGGTGGTGTGTGGCACAGTGGGGTAGAACTTCAAGACGTCTGTGATTGGAAGGTCGCCAATTTGAACCCTGTGGCCAGCAGACTGATGATGCTGTTGTGCCCTTGAGTAAAGCCTTTGACTAGGATACAAGGGGTGGGACAGAAAGAGGGGAGTCCGAACACAGATACGCCCACGGAAGGCATTATGACTGTAGAAAGCAAATGTCAACATGAAACAAAGCAAAATCCCAGACATTTCAGGCATTTTTATGTCCCAAAAAAGAGGACAATTCCAGGAAAAAGAGGATGTATGGTCACCCTACCTTAACCCCAGCTGCTCCAAGCATGTGTTTCACAGAAAGTTAGATCAAATAGGTGAAAAGAAAATTTCTCCATGAAAATGAATAAAGTATATCTTCTATAAAATTACCATTACATTTACACAAATGTGTATTGTCAAATTTAAACCTTGGGTGGTATGAATATTCTTATCTGCCAGAACCTTGCACATCTGCTGCACAGCTGAAACAACGGGTAGTCTATGTCTAAATTTCTATATGGAGACTTTCGTGTTTTTACGAACGCGGTTCAAGATATTTTGATCTCTGTTGTTTGCCGTAGTTAGTTTAACCGGATGTACAGCGTGAAGGTCAGAAGAAAGGATTATGGGAAGTGCGATGAATGACAGCGGGAACCTTTTCCACTGAAAAATACACCACATTAAGATTTAACAATTTCTTTGGTGGTTGAAAGGTAATTCACATTTTGGCTTTATTGTTGTTACATAGTTACGGTTCTTTACACCCGAAGTATAGTTAACGAGTTAATGTATAGCTGTATTCGAACTGAACGTGTGCCCGTTTTAATGAGCAAGGCTTTGAATTACAAAGAAAAACATTTTCTGAGTGTAATGCTATACCGTGACCTTGCAAAGGACCTGCATTAGAAATAACTGATAGTAACTGATTATTTATTCTCTTATTGTTGCGTTGCCCTTGAGGAGATCGCCGAAGCGGAGGTGCCGGGATGTTCCTCACATTGGCGTTGTTCCGGAAGGGCATACCGGGGAAGCAGTGGATTGGGAAGTACCGGCGTCCGCGGCACGTCACCTGGCAGATGAAGCGCAACATGATCGCACGACTGGAGCACCGTCATGCGGCCGAGCGACGCCTGCAGAACTGGCTGAACTTCAAGGAGGCCACAGCTGGTAAACTGCCTGAGCACAGGTTCATTGCGGAGCACCTTGGCCACCTCAATACCACGAAGAAGTGGTCCAATCAATAACAGTCATGGCCGTTTGCAAGATCCCTTCTGAAGCTGAGGACTGGTTGGACTTGATATTGAGATGTTGTACCTTAAATTAACTGTAAGCTTCAAGTCTTAGGATTTGTCACTTTCACTCTGCTAGAAAGATATATGTATTAAATCACATTTTACATAAAACACCATGGTTTGTGCTTGCCTCTAATTTTTTCATTTCGTTCCTTGTAAGAGTACTCCATACAACCTGTATAAAACAGCATTCAGCAGTGACTGATGCCTGCATGGAGTGGTATTTAATAAACATGTCAAATCCAGTGGTTTCATGGCTCCCAGGCAGGTTCCCAACTGTGCTGTCCAGGTTTGTCTCAAGGGTATGAAGCAATAACCTGTGAACTTCCCTGCCTCTGTGTCTGGGCAAAAAGGTGGAAGTAGGCAGGTGACAGATAGCCGTGTTTATTTGGAGCACCTTCCAGTTCCAGAAATGTCCATGTGGAGGCGCACTGGATGTCCTGCAGCCTTGCATAAGCAGGAGAGACACGGCTGGTTGCCAGTCCCACAGTGACCTGGTGGGGACCTCATTGCTATACTACACTTGTGTTTGCTATGTTGTCAATGGAGGTTCCTATGAATTCAAGCATCGTAACTAAATTAAGTGTAATGTAGAATATTACACACTATGTTTGTTAGGCCTGCCTCTGCTTGACTTTCAGCAGGCGGATAGATGGATGTCTGTTTTCTATTAGCAGTCTGGGGTCAGATCCTGCATGCGCAGGTATTCCGGAAGTTCTTTCAATGTAGTGAAACGTTGAAAGATGCCATGAGTTAAGGCTAACTGCATTTATGGGAAATAGCTTTGAGTTTAGATGGTCCTAGTGATAGGCACGTTAGGACACTTAATACTAAGTCAATTTGCTTATTGTATTTTATGTGAGCTTTTTTTTTTGGTTGCGATACCCTCTTTGGCCAGGGTGAGGGGCTGTCTGCACTCTCGGCTGGCGCAGTGTTAGAGGTAATTAAAGTCCGTGCTGCAGGTCACCCGCACCTTGCAGTTGAGCGTGTTTGTATTTGTCGCAGTTCTTTTGCAGGGAGCTGAACCAGCAGCTCTCTAGGTACAAAACACAACCTCCCCCCCCCATCTTCCTTTTAATCTGGAGAGGTGGTACCTGCCCCCTCGAGACTGCAGATGGCTCACCAGCCCCAGCTTTGGAAAGATGCTAAAAAGAAGTGTCTTTGCGAAGCACCGCGGCCCAAGAACACAAGAGCGATAACGGCTCATGAAATATCTATGACTGATTCTGAAAACATGCATCACCTCCAGGTGAGCAGTGATCTAGAATGAGCCATTTCTATATCTAAATAGTTTGTGGTTATTCCATATTCTGAGTATTTTATTACTACAGCAAGGTAAAGGTATTGCATGGGGTTAGGCTGTCGGTACTAGTGGTTCATTATACCATTCTACATATTCAGTGCTCGTAATTATATTTAATTGGTAGATTGATCTGGTCTTGGGAGTTTTCAGCTTTTAGTCGGAATGGGATTGTTCATTCAAACCAAACAGCGAAATGTAACTTTTCCCCAGGACGATCCCACGGAGCTCGTTTTAGATAATCGTCGTTTCATCCATGGACATAAACTCAAGGATGAACAGAAATCTGACAGCATGTCTCACAGTCGCGTTTTATCTAATCGGAGTTATAATCGTTAACGACGACTAAAACTCTTTCGTGAACTGACACGAAATGATATGAAAATAATAAAAACGAACAACTAAACGGAAACTATAAAGTCGCTTCAGATAAAAACAAACAACAAATACTTTCCTTTATCTCTTTTAAATACTATTTAGCTGAAGTAATGAGTAATCTTTAAATACAACAAATACTTTCCTTTATCTCTTTTAAATACTATTTAGCTGAAGTAATGAGTAATCTTTAATTACCATTAACAACACCTGGAACATGGTTTGCCCGTGTATTCATGTAGTATTCTTTAAAGATTAGACACGTAATATACTTCTACAACTTTCAGTCTATCTCTCGAAAGATCATTACTAAAACTTAAACTAAAATAGGCCTATATAAAATTATGTATTTTTTTAAATAAAAAAAACTTAAAATAAAAACCACATTGAAAATTAACTAAAATGAAATTAGATTTGAAATGCTGAAGATGCTGCCCTTGGCAGCCTTTGCAGAGGTGGACAAAGTACTCACATTCATTACTTAAGTGAAGGTACAGATACCACCGGTAGATCCTGACAAAGGCTGCCTTTGTCAGCATCTACCACTCACTCCAGCTTCAGGTGAGTGATAATTCTCTTGTTGACTGAGGATCAGTGCAACCAGATGGTGGTTGATAAATGTCAGAGTCTGGGGGTGGGTTTGGAAACTGGCCTGAAATATTAAGCAAATCGTAAACTATAATATATATTTAATTTTATCTGCATGTAATACTTTAGTCTTTACAGTGCTTATGATTGCATTTGATAGCTGTATTAAGCTCCATCTGTCAAATCAGCCTACACTGTGCTGCCAAAGTACCTGTATGTTTGGTTCCTCTTCTGATGTTGCGCTTGATCTACAGTTTCAGCAGGGGGAGACAACAACCAATAATTTTACACAGGCACATCGAGCGCGAATAGTTAAACGCCAGACCGTTTTGTGCTTAGCGCTTTTTTTCCTGCAAGTTTAATTACACATAACTGTTAAAACACGTATGAAACACTGTTAATGACCAATATTGTCATGGATGTCAAATGTAACCTTGGTTTGTCCCCAAAAGAAAGTACTTACTCAGCTGAATATTGCATTGTTTGTTTGCATTTGGAAGTCCATGTACAGTTTTTGATAAAAAAAAAAAAACACTGCATGACTTCATAAAAAACACAAACAAATAAAAAATCAAAACACGGTAAACGATGTGGGTCTCTAATACAAATAGTTGTGGCGGGAACTTATACAGATCTATTGGTGTTGTGGATTCGTTTCTCCGTTTAATACTAAACTGACGTGCACAAACGTCCCCCTGCTTCTGAACGCGTTTGCTTTAGACGACACCAACGCTGATCTTCAATATTGTCGGCTTTACGCGAAAGATTTGTTTTGTAAGTCTGCTTTGTTAAAGGAATATTGATTTATTTCAGGTGGCGCTTCCTTGTGTCGGAGCATCCCGGTTCTTCTAATAGGAATATAGCTTTCAGATGACTTTGAAACGCCAGTAAGTGGATCACTGGAGAGATGAAAATCGATGTTTATCAAAAATTCACAGAAAATAATTTCAAGGCTCCACTTAGCTTTACGGTGGTGGACTCAGACCGTTTGAAGGACAGGGGCAAAAAAGTGAAAAGGCCACCTATTGCAAGAAATGCATCCCCTTGCCTCCACTAGTAACATGGTATGCTATGTATGGTAAAAGAGTGTTCTCACATATACTGGACATTGCATCTCATAGGGGATGCAACTGTATCTCATTATCTTCACTGGAAGGGCACCAATTAAAGAATGTTTCTCTTCATCAGAAGGGCACTTCATGATGTCTGCTCACTTGGAAGGGCACCACAAGGGGAACTTCACCGTGTTTGCTCACTTGGAAGGGCACTTCTTGAGTGATTCCAACCAGACTGGCACCCATAGAGCACCTCAGGTTTATCCAGTTGTATGGACACCTCGTATGACACTACGTCACATTTTCTCCACTGGATGGGCACCATTTTGGGCACTTCATCACCGTCACTTAGGAATAACAGTACCCTTACACGAGGGTTTCCGAACCGTTGGTTCACAGACCACAGTCCAAGGCTGGAATGAACAAAAATAAACAACATTTTCAGTTTTTGTTAATTGTCACTTTTTCTGTTCTGTTTGCATCTGGAAAAATGTAAACAGTGAAATTGCCAATTGATCTGCCGACACCCCTCCCCCAGTCAATGAAACTTGCAAACCAGTCTGTGAACATGACAAGCTTTGGGACCCCCACTCTACAGCTCTGCCACCCATTCTCACTTCTGGGAAGGGCACCGTTTGGCACATTTAATCATGTGGAAGTGGCACAGAGGGCATGTAACTGCCTCCTTTCCCATTGGATGGGCATCCATACGTACCAAATAAGGGCACTTCATAGGACACTGTATCTCATTTTCTCCGCTAGAGGGGTAGGGCACCCATTAAGCTGCTTCACCACATTTCCTTGAGCACATCATCATACTCTTTCACATGAAGGGGGCACCCTAGACAGCACTCCATCATTCTTTTTCCATGTGAAGGGCAGCCAATAGTGGCATTTTCGCCTATCTAGAGGGAGCTTTAACGACATATTTTCAATTGGGGGGGGGCGTTCCCCCTCGAGTCCATCAGTGTAGCTTTGGGTCCATGCCTTTTCCCCCAGCAAATAAGCCGCAGTTCCTTTGGTTGCCAGCAGATGGGAATCCAAGTTAGTGTAGAAGTTAAGGAGTGGATGCAAGTACCGGCTGGTACCCAAGCGTGAGAATCCGCTCATTTCGCACTCAACAGGGGGAGCACCGTCTCGGACATCGTGAGGAGAGCCCTGTACCCTAATGTCAGTGGGAGCGGAGACCATGAAGACAGAAGATCAGGCTCATCGCCTTGCATGCAGCTCCGGCATCCCGGTACGCTGAAGCCTTCCCACCTACAGAGGACTGAATGACGAGGCGGCATGGCAGGCGGACGGCGAGGACTCGTGGCCCCCCAGAACACTTTCCTAGAAAATATTGTCAGGCGATCTAACGGTAAGAAGTTAAACGTTTTTTTGGGGGGATCGTTTAATGATAGAACTTTAAATGACTATAGTACGCTGCAGGGTCCGAATGGACTTTGATGCATCTTTAGTGGGAAATTTTGTGCCATTTTAACAGTTAGTACTACAACAGGCAAGATTTTAAAAATACATGTATATTGTAGCGTAACGTCTGAAACTTAAACCGAAATCCACTATCATAAGAAAGCCGCATCTTTTGTCAACGTACATAAAGTAATTGATAAAATTTCCCGTTCTGACGCACATATCTGTATTTTAAAAAGTTGCGTGTGACAGTAAATAAACGTGTAGGTGCCGTTGATGCCATGGTAGGAGTAACCTAATGTTTACGATTTCAGAAGATGTTTTTGTGCTTCCCGCAAAACTTGCGCAGTTTAATTGCTTGTTATTTATGTTATTTGAGCCAGGCTACATATAGGATGTATTTACGTATCGCCTTAATCGATGTAATATCTAAATGTATGTCTAAAATTTTAATAATACTCCGGTCATTCTGTAACGTAAAAACCAAATGTCCGTTATAGGTAATTACATGCTAATTGATAGTAATTATATACAGTATGACAAACGGAAACAGCTGCTTAACCGTAACGCAGATTTTTCTAATAACTTGAACAAGTATATCGAAGCTTTGAGGCGTGTTTTTGATAGGTGTGTTTATGTTATTCATTGTCTGACTGTAAGTGCGTCGATACTGGATGGTATTAGCGGAATAATCGACCCAGGGTTTTGGTAAGATGATTAGACGGGTCCCCTTCGCAGGTGCGCCAATTGCCGTCGGAGTTGTCAAGACGGCGCTGCATATCATATGTATTACACAGAAATGAAAACGTTTGCCATCAGATAAGCAGCAACACAAAAATTCTCGTGCGTTTTATTGCCATATACTATATAGCCCACACCTATAAACATTATTGCTTTCTACTGTCTCTGTACAATTTTAAAACCGCACTAGAGTTCCTCAATGCGAGCCGATGAATTCGCCTCTGCTATAGCTTAAGGCTGTTTTTTTAAATTGATTTATGTTAGTCTATTGTGAGATAAATGAAGTGATTTATTGTAGCTGCAATGTGACAGTTTAATGGCGGCGATAATTCATAATGTTACGCATGATCCACTCCGTAAGCCGCAATTCAAATCGAACTTTTTCCCGTCCATCAGTGACAACTTGACAGCTATCAAAACGCAGTCATTAAAAACTTGAAATGTTAAACAGCATGATACCGAGTCGGTAAAAAAATATATATATATATATTTAAACGCGAAAGCTGTTTAATCCGACTAACATGAATTATGGACAAGGTTTTCAAAATATTCAGTTTTGTGCCATTTTCTTAAATGGTGCTATCGATTTTGCGTTGCTCACTGTGGGCTTAAAGCTGAGAGATTGTTAAAGAGGGTAAATATCGAGTTTCTAAGAAATAGATGCTGAAAGGGTTTAGCTATACCGCTTTGGTCTTAATATGATTTCACGCTAATGCAAACACCAACTCGTCACTGTTAGCCTACATCAAGCTTAAATTATAAGTTAGCGATAGGATAATAGTGTGCTACAGGTTTACACTAACTGATGGTCGTGATTGTCACAAAAAAGTTTGGTTCGCTGCCATTGTACATCTGGGACTTTTAAACACCTTTCCTTTTCCCCAGATCTTGGTAAAATCGTGCTGGGCGGATCTTACCAATGCCCGTGTAGCCTAGTTATAGGAGACAATAATCAGAATAACGGGAGCTGACTGTGAACGAAACAGAAACACACAGACTCTTGTGAAATTATCTGAAGATGACTGTCAAATATTAAATATTAGGTGTTGCAGCCTTTGCGTTTTTTACGGATGGTGTTTAATGCGCCCTGTTGCGTAGGCCACCGATGACAGTTTTGTAATAGTTTGTCGCTGTAGTGGTGGCGTGTAGTTTTGTTTTTGAACGGCGCTGTCTGTCTTGCTTTAACCATCTCTCTCCTTTAACTTTTCAGTTTGGACATTGTCACATAGACAGACAGGTATACACAATGTCGACACCGTTGTTTATTCCTTCTTTTCCATGTTCATGTTCTGTACCAATTTCTTTGTTAATTTGATTTGTTAGTTTCGGCAAAGACCGCATAACTTTAACATCAACCTCCTTTCCATCCCCCCCCCCATAATTTTATCTTATTCCTACTCGATGGTTTAATAAGAAGACATACAGACGCTGTAAATAACTGAAATACTGCACACTGTGCGACCTGGTTATTTTTGTAACCAAGTAGCCTAGGTAATCGGTGTAAACTGCAAGGTCATGTAAGCACAGTAAAATAACAGATGTTGGCATGGAACTTAGTGTTGTGTCTGTCGGAAGAGTAGTTGTAGAGTAGAGTGAGTAGAGAGGAAATCCTTGTCCTTTTGCTTGTTAGGTAACATCTCCCGATTCCCGATGTCCCTCTCCTGCCGTTTTTAATGGAATTAGCTGTGTAATGTGCAATGTGTTAAAGTTTCCAGTCCTAAAATCTATTAATCTATTATACATGTTGCGTTTTCCAAAATACTCTTTTCACTGTCCATGGTGGTGGTAATATTTGCAGCAAGGTCTGGAATTTCCCATAATGCCATTGGTGCAATGGGCAGGGGTCATCTGGGAATAACCTTAACACTAGGAATAGTTCTCATGATTTTGCTTGGCCTCAGCACCTGCATCACCTGCATAGTACAAGGCTGAGGTCATGTAGGTGAGAGGTGAAAGGTCGCTCTTGCACAAGGGCTTTAAATGGGAAGGTTCAGGTCCGTGGGAGCGAGACGAGATTCATTTTTCTGCTGCTCTTCAGGACAGCTTGTAACGCATCACCTTGTCCGAGTGGCACATTATTGTCATTGATTGCTATGTACAAATGTCTTGACAAATGGTGCCAAATCTGGCTCTTAAGAACATAAGGCTTTAACCAGTGTTTAATTAGTTGATGTCTTCCTGTAACATTTACTGCAGCTTCCCATTTCTTTTTAATTGCCTAAGATAAATTGCAAGTGTTTTTGGTTGGAGTAATTATGTGAAATATTATAATTAACTCATTACTCTTTATTGAGCTGTCAGTGAGGAATTTTCTAAAAACGGGTTAGCCAGTAACTGTTGGGGGGGGGGAGTGGGTATAGGAACACGATGTTTGGTTCTGGTTTCTGTGACTGTCGGCTCTCCTCTGGTTATCCCATGTTCTCCAATGTCCAGACGCGGGGATCTGTGTGGGTGGGGGTGACCTCAGTGCTGCCATCATCCTTATGCGTCGATTTGTGTTGATTTCATTGTGATCATACTGTACCCATAATAGTTGTGTGTATGTATAAGTCCAGCTAGCCACATTACCCTCCTGATATTTACCGTATTTGGTCTAAAAATGATTAAAGCTGCGTGTTTTGTCCATACATGAGGTCCATGTGTCTGGAGGTGTGACTGTTTCCAGTCATCCTTTTCATGTAGAATAGTAACTTTAATTGAGCTGTAATCTTGACCATTGAGCTACCATGGCTTGGAACTGACCAGTAACAGTGTCCTTGTCCCACTCTCTCTTGTATCCCTTACGGCAGACACCAATTTTGTTCTGGGGAATGCCCAGATCGTGGACTGGCCCATCGTGTACAGCAACGATGGATTCTGCAAGCTTTCCGGCTACCACCGGGCCGAGGTCATGCAGAAGAGCAGCACGTGCAGGTAGCCTCCCATACCGCCGCAGCACGTCCGGGTAGCCTCCCATGCCGCCGCAGTCGCCTGCTGCAGAAAGGCACCATCTCATGATGCTGACGCTGCCTGGTTTGCTTCACAGGGTCATGTGCTTAGAATAATGAATGCAGGTCTTTTTTAAAGGGTTCACATGTTTGAACTGCTTGCTGTTATCACATTATAGCGCATTGCTAACAAAGCTAGTTTGTAAACCGTAATCCATATGTGGCTTATAATGGGATTTCCATTGCATATCCTTCATATTTCCATGCTTCACTTTTTGGGATTACCGTAAGAAAGGATATCTAGTTTGGGTTTGGTTTGTCCCTTTGAACAATGGCATGGGGGAGAGTTTGATATTGGGAGGGCAGTGAGGGGGGGGATTGACATCAGGTACATGTTTCCAGCTGATTCTGGCCCCTGCCTGTCCGATTCGAAGATGTGGTGAGAGGCTTCTCCTCACCCATGATTGCTGCCATTTCCATGCTGCTTCTCCTTGCTCTCTTTAAAGACGCGTCCATATTAAGTGACTGGGAAGTGACTGGGAAGGTATTCTCTGCAAGGCAACGGGATGCTCACGGTTCGTCTCACAGGGGACAGGAGCTCAGTCTAACCGTTGTTGGTCTGCATAGTCCTCACTGCTTTGACTTCAGAGCTTAATGCTTGTCAGACTTCAGAATCTCAGCTCGTATTTTTATATCTGCTGTGCCTTGCTGTCCGTTATGGTAATGTGGATCACTTTCAGTCATTTCCCAAGTTGGGGGGTGGGGGGGGTGGGTTGGTGCAGAGGGGCAACATCAAAGCATGCAGTGGAAATGGGGGGGGGGGTCCCTCTGCGAGGCATGGTGTGCCTTCTACCTTTCTGCTGTGACTTGCATCAGCTTTTATAGGCTGCCGTGATGCGGGACCTTAGCTGTCACTGTGACAGGCCGCTTTCGGCAGGGTTTGGATCAAGTGGCTTGCGAGCTTTGGTGGTTTTCAGGTACTCATGGCTCGCTGGTCACACAGCTTTGTGGTCTGTTCTGTGTACGGCTGCGGTAGAACAACTTCTGACATATTCAACCATTAAGATGTCAGTCTCCTGTCCTGATTTTAGCTCTATTTGTAGGCTTTCCATCCCTGTTTAGTCAACGGAGGTGGCTAAATCTGTTCAGATTGGGAACCAATTAATCAAGAATTCTAGGGAAGAACAAAAATATACGTACCAGCTTGCCAGGCCAGGACAGTGAGATGCTGGTGAACAGGGTGTCTGTCCTGTCTGTCGCTGTATTACTGCTACACACGAGGGGGTATTTTTGTGAGAAATGGTGATAGTCACTAGATGTGATCGGACAATTGGCACGGGAAAATGTCTTGTGGCCCATGTGGCTCTCGTGATTAATGCCCCTGACAGGAGGCGTGGGTCAGCAAATGCGCCGACCTGTGATACGAGCTGAACTAAACCCCCGTCTGTGTTCCTTGATCACATGGCCGACCAGGGTTGAACTCTCAGCCTTTACTTGATTTATTCCTTCATGAATGTGTGCGCTAAGGCTAAAATGGCCTGCTAATAGATGCTTCATTACAGGAAGGCTCACAAGTGTCTCTCATGCTTGTTAAGTGCTCGTTTTCGAGCCGTTCTGTCTGTAGGCGTGCAGTCACTTAATCTGATTGATTGCAGATCAGTCTCTCGCCAGATCAATTGACTCTTTGTGTGCCGGAATCAAGGGGCCGCTTCTGCTGTATGAACTGGAGACGAGGTCTTGGGCTGGGAAAGCCTGACCTTCCATCTGTTGTCTACATGCTGTTTCTAGCAGTTGCACCTGTGATTAATCAGCAATGATTCAGTTAATGAGTGTCGTTCCTCAGCTTTGGATCTGCTCGATGTTTGTGTTTGTATGGGGTGCAATTCTGTCAACATGCCTGTGTATGTTGGCTTTACTGATTCAATCAATAGAGCAGCTCATAGGATCTGGGAGGGATTTTGCCTCTTTTTATACAGATAATCTTCGCTGCTCTTTGGTTGAAGGCCTTTCGCTGGGCCAGAGGGGGAAGCAAATGGTAGAGATGGCTGATGCAAGAGCGGTAGATTCTGTGTAAAGGCAGATGTTGGCTTTCTGTCTGGTGATCGTGGCCCCGGCTCTGTTCAGAGTTCTGCGCCTGTCATGCCTCCAGCTACTTTACCCTGGTGTTTGTAATGTCACAGTGATGCTACAGTCAGTTTCCCACTGTGCTTTCAGCTTCATGTACGGCGAGCTCACGGATAAAGAGACCACAGAGAAAGTACGGCTGACCTTCGAGAACTATGAGATGAACTCATTTGAAATACTCATGTACAAGAAGAACCGTAAGTTACTTTGGACTCAGCTCTTTCCTGGAGATCTCCTTTTCCCTGAAAATGGATACTTTTTCTAAAAACATCTGTTCCACTTGGAACTTTTGTTGAGGGTATAAAAGAGAGTCTCCTTTGAATGATGGTCAGAAAAGAACATGGCTAATTAGATGATCTGTGTAAACTCAGATGGAGTGTTTCACTGTTTGGGGGTGGGCTGAGTGCTGTGGTCTCTTGAGTTTTTCATCTCGATTGTGTTTCAGGAACACCGGTATGGTTCTTCGTCAAAATCGCTCCCATCCGCAATGAACAGGACAAGGTAGTGCTGTTCCTGTGCACCTTCAGTGACATCACAGCATTTAAACAGCCAATCGAAGATGATTCATCCAAAGGTGGGTGTGGCTACCAAGTGAGGGCCAGCACTCACTATTTCTACCAAGTTCTTGTTCGACTTGCTATATGTTTGATGATCATGTGACCCATCCCTTGCGTCAATGCCGCCCAGGGTTCGCTAACATGGCCGTCTGGCTTTCTTACCCAAACTAGGTTGGGGGAAGTTCGCCCGTCTGACCCGTGCTCTGACCAGCAGCCGAGGCGTCCTGCAGCAGCTGCAGCCCACCGTACACAAGGGGGAGAACGTCCACAAGCACTCTCGCTTAGCAGAGGTAAGAAGGGTGCCCTCTGCTGGCGTTGCTGTGCGACACTTTCTATAAGCAGCTTGATTTTCAGTCTTCTGTAAAACTTTCATCAATCTGTGTGCAGATGATATTGGGATTCAAAGGTGTACGGAAAAGTATATTGTGTTCTGCAACATGCATTCTTGCTAAACAATCCTTACACACACCCTCCTTCCCCAGCTACTTACTATGGAGACTTGGGTCTTTGAGAGCTTCACACCAAAGATTATTAACCTCCCTCTTCCCATGGTCAGGTGCTGCAGCTTGGCTCTGACATCCTGCCGCAGTACAAGCAGGAGACTCCGAAGACCCCTCCTCACATCATACTCCACTACTGTGCCTTCAAGACTACCTGGGACTGGGTGATCCTCATCCTCACCTTCTACACTGCCATCATGGTGCCCTACAACGTGTCTTTCAAGACCAAGCAGAACAACGTGACCTGGCTGGTAGTGGACAGCATCGTGGACGTAATCTTCCTGGTGGACATCGTGCTCAATTTCCACACCACCTTCGTTGGACCGGCCGGCGAGGTCATCTCTGACCCCAAGCTCATCCGCATGAACTATCTGAAAACGTGGTTCGTCATCGACCTGCTGTCATGCCTGCCATACGATGTCATCAACGCCTTTGAGAATGTGGACGAGGTCAGTCCCCTTCCCAGAATCCTCTGCATTGACATTAACTGCTCCTTGGTGTTTACCCCAGGCCTTGTTAAATATTTACAGCGCCTCGTTATTTGGTTCTCTACCTGTTCTTCATGATGGTGAGCGGTTGTACTTTAAGCTGTTAGTGTCTGTGTCTGGACTGCTTAAATCCCGGCACTGAGTTTTTCCTCTCATTTCATGGGCCACAGATTCTTATTTGTCTCCTGCGTCAAGAGGAACAGACTGTGGAATGATCATTTAATACATGACTCTCTCTGCTGTACATAAATGTTTTTACATGTTTTTCTTCCCATCCTTTTTTCTCGTTTAGTGTGTACTTTTTGTTCGGCATGAGATGCTGGAACAGAGCTGAGGATTTTCGCGCTGTCCCCTCTTGCTAAACTTGTGCTTCTAAACCAATTTCTCTCTTCCTGAAGCCCTTTTTTTCAGATTAGGAAGCATACAGTGCAGATTATTTTTAAATTATCATTGTTTCATTCCTAGCCATCCGTGTTTTATGTGGACTTTCAGATGGATCGCTGCAAATTGCGCAGACGTTCCCAGAATTCCACTGGGCCTAGTGCACCCATCAGTTGTTTCTTATTGCTGCCTTTCTGAGACCTATTTGAGGAAGGCAGTTTCTATTTAAAGGCTTATCTGATGCTAGGTCTTTAGCATGTGTCTGCTGCAGCCTGGGATGGAGGAACAGTTTGGAAAGGGATTGGCTGATCAGTCAGAAGTTGGTCCATGGTTACCTGGGATATATTTGTTTGTGTTTTGCAAGGGGGGGTGAGTGGGGGAACCGCACCAATTGCTGGCACCTGAGATGGCAGGGAATTGGGGGGAGGTTTATTGCTGTGTGGCAGGTCTGTAAACCTCCCTGCACTTACAAGTCTTGTTGCAGGCCACTGAAGTGCACTGGCAGTGTGATGGGGGGGGAACAAGTTGGCTGGAACCAGGAACAAAAAGCTCAAGATTGTTTGTTTCGTACAACATCTGTTTTAATTATGCGCTGAGGGATACCAACTCTCACCACTTACATGAGCTCCCAGCAGAAACGGCAGTGCCAGTAACTGGGGTCAGGCCTGTTTATCCTGCAAATGCTTCTGTGTCTCATTCCCCGGTCAGGCTTTGAGGCCTGTGCCATCCGCCACCGTGACATTCGCGTATGCAGCAGGGTGAAATCACATGCATTCTTTATAAAAATGATCAAGGCACCTCACCACAAGAGCGATGGTTTTACATCAACGATTCGGCAGTTATTTGATTTGGGTCAGTGTCTTAACTGTATCAAGTCTGTTGCTTAAAGGAAGGTCACTGCAGGCTGTTCAGTACTGCCCTCCTTTATGTATGACTGAATCCGGGACACCCAAGAGAAAGTTAGGGCAATACCAAGGGCCCCTGTCACTCAGGGGCCCTAAAAAATATGGAACATAATTGGGTTGGTCTGGGGTGGGGGTCCAATATCACAAAATTCCTAGACTGAATATTTGGGCTGATGATGCTGGGTGACATTTGTAGCAGAAAGGAATAGAAGTGCGTGTGTGTTTGATTTAGGGGGCGGTGGGGCAGTAATTTAACACGCATCCCCCACCTGTCATAGCAAATTAATTTGTCGTTGCGTGATTGCTGGATCCCGACATTCGTTCTTAAGCTGCATTCTGCATAAAGGCATGTTTTTTTTCGCCCCGCTTGTGCAATTCGAGCCGTGCTGAGTCTGTTGAAGGGGCAGAGAGATCGTACTGCATCATGGCTGAGTCTGGTGTCTTTTGTAACTATGTAGCTGATGTGCCACGTACCGATGACCCATAAGTCAGATCGCGGAACGGCGCTGCTTTTGAAAATATTGTCAAATTTCTGTATCCCACGGTATAGTGTCTTCTAGGGCTGAACAATTTATTCATTTCAAATCAAATCGCAATTGCAATATGCCAAGAATAATCGCGATTAGATATTTTCCCTAAATCGTTCAGCCCTAGTGTCTTCCCTCTACACGTATTTGTGTTTTATTGATCCTGCCCACTGTGCCAGCAAAGCTTTATTGTTATGGGTTTTTTGTATATAATTTCTTAAATTCTCACCTTGCCTTTTTGTCAATGCAAGCCCCCATTGATTACTTATGAAGCTTCATGTTTTTCCACTTGAAGTTCTTTACCCCAGTTATAATACAAAGGACTATTTTTTTTTTGTTTAAGTTCTGTGTAAGTTACAGAACCTGGTCCCAGAGATCAGAACACACTTCAAAGGCTTTGATCACTTTTAGCTTCAGGTTTGTGATCTTCTTAGATCTAAAGGTTCTGTTGGGAGAGAACAGGGACAACTTTAGGCTTACAGGGATGGATAGGATCCTAGAAGCTGGATTCAGATATGACAGATTAATATGATTCTTAGTTTGAAGCGGACTACCAGTGACTATGACAGCGTCCATGACTATGATGACAGCGTTCACATGTTTTTAGCAAGTATTTCCTCCAAACGGCAGTAAAGCTCTTCTGATTGTCTTTTCCCACAGGTGGAAATGCCACCACTTGTCTCATTCGCCCTCGAACCCCAGCTGAATCGCCCAGTTTACTACCGGACTGTAAATCAGAGACCTTTTATTATTAATGAGGCTAACCGACAGGAGACGATGAGCCTCTGACAATTATTCTTGGTTGCTATGGCCTTCTGAGGAGAAGCGGATTCCTAGTGTTGGTACGGTCAGTTTGGGGATGCAGCTGCCGTGTTCGTTAGTGTCTAAGTGGTGCAGGTAAGCTGGCGTACTTACAGAAGCATTGTACGGATCTGGATTCTGACAGTCAGAGGAGTGCCGTGTTTAACGCACCACCGATGCAAGCTGACTGCAACGATGCCCTGACTCGTGCAAGCCCATTGCCTGCTCGTCTATAAGGAAATAAAGATTGGCTCAAGGAATGTTTCCCCAATCCTGAAACGACCAAAAATGTACCCCACCCCCCATGTGGTCAGCTTTATGTTTTGGACAGAATAGTGTTCGTTTTGCAAGGTGCAAGACAACTGGCAGTCGAGCTCCAGCGCCTCTCCTGATACCAAAACGGAACAAAATCACATAGGTATTATTTTTGCTTTGCGCTTCTGTCTGCCTGGGTGCCTGTATCTTGTAGCCAATGCTCCGTCGGGTCCGAGGGCACTGTGGCGGTCCCGGCGGGAGGCCGGCGCACTCCCACACTTCCCACTGATGCCCTGGAGACGCAAGGAGCGGCGACTTCATCGGGGCAGAACACGCCCACTCACACTCCGAAAATAGCACTGCTGAGGGATCCAAGCAAGCTTGCTTTTTTATATAGGGTTATGTTTGTATGTTTGTGTTTATATGTTATGTACTCTTGGTCTCTCTGGCAAAGCTGGTTGTGGTTCTGTTGCGTGTCATGGCAGTGATACTACTGGTTCACAATGGCAGTGGTACTACTGGTTCACATCCTGCATCAAAGTGGTAATAATAGTAAATGTTGTATTGCTGTTAAGTTATTCACATTTTTCTTTGTCTAATTTGTAACTATTCTTCCACCTTATGAGCACAATTACCTTTTTGATCTGTTCATTTGTGCTTTGATTTTCCCCTCTGTTCTTCATTTGAATATGATTTACCTTTTAGTCGCTGCTCTTTCTAAAGTTTGTTTCACTGGCTGTTCACATGCTTTTTTGATTTCAGCGTTTTTGTCTCTCTCTCTCTCCTTCGAACCCTGTTCTGTTTGCATGGCCTGTTCTCCTCCTCTTTGTTTGTGGGACGTGAAGAACTGGAACCACCGAGCTGTCACTCAAGTAGGCAAACTCGCAGTTTTCATCTTCTAAACTAGCTGATCAAAGCCGTCCTGTGAGCTGTAGTAGTAGTTTAATGGGTGAATATGACTAAAAATGTATGAATGTACAGCTAACTGGCACACACCCAATGTATTTCCAGTACTTGTAGAAATTCTCCCTCTCTTACACACACACACACACACACACACACACACACACAGTGCAAAAGGTTTTTGTTTCTGTAACACCTGTAATCCATGATTGTGTGTGTGTCACTGACTAGATACTGTGTGGATGTGCATGGTCCTTCTGAGAAGATAAAGCTGTCAGCATTCAGTCATGAATTCATTTGCATTTGCTGTTTTGTGTTTATTCTGTCTCCCCCCCCCCTTCCTTGTTGATGACTAATAGCCAGAAGTGCCCAAATGTAACACAGCTGCTGCCATTGTTAAGGTGGGGGGTTTGGGGGTGGGGTTTAATGCAAAGTGAGCATCCTGATTGGGTATCTCTCCCTAGACATCCTTAGTGTGCTTTCAAGTGTCTGCAGACTGGAGGAGTGGGAGTGAATTCTTAGTAGTTAATGGAATAGCTTTGAGGTGTGATTTGAATCCTCCTCCATCAGCAGTGAAACCAATGACATCAAGTTAAGAACTTCAGTCAGACAATGTCCTACTGACACGTGTTGTCTGCATAACTGAATCTTACAAGTGTCCTACAATCAGGGTGTTAGGATAGAGATTCTTGGTTACTGCCTGTAACGATTAGCCTGAATAGTTCAACTCATTTCCCCGTTGATGCTCGAACATGTTGAGGTGTGGATGGAAACACAGGACAGGGTGCTCTTTGTGTGAGGGAATATTGTTTTGAGCTGGAAGATGTCTCTTTTCTTTCACTGGGGTTTTCTGTGGTCGCCCCAGGGTGTCTGAGTGGCGGTTAGGGCTCTCTGATGCCTCTTCAACACAGCATACTGTATATATATATATATATATATATATATAACAGCTATATTCTTCACTTGTCTGTAGTACTGAGTAGCCAGAGCCAGGTTCTGTCTGCTTATTTGCTCAATGGACCATTTTTTTTGACCGTGTGCTGCCTTAGCTGTCGGGCACAAGTGGGACCTAACCCCCAGCGGGGCCTTGGGTTCCAGAGTCATCCTTGACTCATCCAGAGTCATCAGAGTCATTCTTGCCTTGTAGGAATGATGTGGAATAAAGGGGAAACTAGAAAATATTGAGACTGTGATGGAGAGGTCCAGGTGCTCACTCTATTCAAATGGCCGACTGTTGCTTCGTTTCCAACGCGGTGCCAGAGCTGGTGCTGAGCTTTTTCCCAATCCAGAACTGGTCTTGTGCGTTTCCATTGCAAAAAAACTGACCCTGGGCCAGAAAAAACGGATCCAGTATGACGGCACAGAAAAGCTGGTCTCAGAATTTGGACCCATACAGTCAGCAAAAATGGGATAGGCTGTCGCGTCCAAACCTTCTACATATCCGGAAAACTTAATCCATAACAAATATAGTTTTGTCTAATATCGTCGGTGCCGGCAGTGAAACAACTTGCCAGCTGATTAGTGGAATAATGTTATAACGTTTTTTATTCTGTGGAAAATGAAGGATCAATCTGCTGGCCAGATTTAATAATGAAATATAAACATGCCTCAGGTCGAATAAATAAAATATTGTGGCTTTCAAGTGGTGAAGAGATCATGAGGCAAATTGCAAAGTTCAATTTTTAGCAGGCTCTTATTGCGCGATCATTTAAAAGGACAGTGGTAAAACTGCGACTGAGAACAAACTCGCACACAGACTGGGGAGAAACATAGCTTTTAAGGAGACAAAAGTGGATGCAGGCAATAGCGACAGAGAACAACCGGTCATACTCCGAAAACTATGAGGCTCAAAGGCTCTTTGTTTTCAGTTTGGCAGCTTATAAAAATTTTAAATCTGAACAGATCAAACCAAAAAAAAATGTAATTCATATGAACCTTTACCTTCACTTCCACCTACGTAACATTTTCGTTCTGTTCTTTTTTGAAACCGGTGGAAACGCGGGCAGGTGCTCAAAAAGCACCAAGCGAGAACCAGCCTGGCACCGGCTCCGTGTTGGTGGAAACGAGGTATCTGAGACTGAGCCGTACAAACACAAAAGGGCTGCCCAAACCCTGTAAACTCGAGTCGTATCATTTCAAGTGATCCAGCTGACTGCTCTCTTGTCGTCCCCCCCCCAGGGTATCAGCAGCCTGTTCAGCTCCCTTAAGGTGGTCCGGCTGCTGCGTCTGGGCCGCGTGGCCCGCAAGCTGGATCACTACATTGAGTATGGCGCCGCCGTGCTGGTGCTGCTGGTGTGCGTGTTTGGGCTGGCCGCCCACTGGCTGGCCTGCATCTGGTACAGCATCGGCGACTATGAGGTCATCGACGAGGACACCAATTCGGTGCGCACGGACAGCTGGCTCTACATGCTGGCCGAGACCGTGGGCTCGCCATACCGCTTCAACGCCAGCGGCTTGGGCAGGTGGGAGGGCGGGCCCAGCAAGGACTCTGTGTACATCACCTCCCTCTACTTCACCATGACCAGCCTCACCAGCATCGGATTTGGGAACATCGCCCCCACCACTGATGGCGAGAAGATCTTCGCCGTGGCCATGATGATGATTGGATGTGAGTAGCCGTGGCCATGATGGTGATTGGATGTGAGTAGCCATAGCCCCTCCCCCTTTTTCTGTTGCCCTGATGTTTGAGGATTGCAGAAAAATGTTTGTTCTTAGAATTTGTTCTGTCCAGCTTTCTGTAGGTCAGTCTTGGTCAAATGGGATGGATGGTTACTAATGTTCCACCGTACAAACATTTAAATGAAATTTTTCGGGTAGTCTTTATCTAGCAGATTTGCTTCCCCTTTTGTTGAGAATACAGCTCTCAGCTGTTTCTATGCTTGCTGGTTTGATATAATCTCCAATTTGTTTTGCTTTATTTGGGAGTTGCAGTTTTTCAGTTGGCTTTGGGAGGGACCTCGAGCGAAAACATCGAGTGTTTAGCAGAGAGTGCGAGGCTCTGATTTGGGTCTCAGAGTCGCCTGACTGCGCGAATCTTTAATCGGCACCGTTTCCATCGTACGTCACTTCCAGGAACTTAGTGGCCTCTTAGAGTAGCAGGTATGCGATCCCCGCAGGACAAACATTTGGGAAAACTGTGTTTACATGAGGATGATGAAAATGTTTATTTTTATTTATTTTATTTTTTTTAAATAACCTGGTGGGGATGTGTTAACCAGTAAAATAGTATTTAAAATCCCATCGAGCTGTGCTGATCCCGTGGGTCGATGAAGCATTAAAATCGAATTTGTTTGTAGTGCAGCTCAAAGCCCCTACTGTACCAGCCATTCAGCCTTCCCCATTCAGTCTCTCCCCGCCAGGCGTGACGAGCCGATCCCGCTGCGGATTCCACCCAGCTCTTCCACCCGATACCCTCCGCAGCCGTGTGCCTTGCCGACATTCTGTGCCAGTTGTGTTGATGGTCACCCTGCTGGCAGGACGGGGAAGTGTCTCAGGACTGTTTTAGATGGTAGGGTTGACACTACCTTTCTCAAACAAAGGATCTGCTGTAATGTGTAAGATTTACTGGGTTGTTCTTTGGCTGCTTTGCTTTGATTTAGGATTTCGTGTTTTTTTATGTTTAAACATTGTCCACATGCAGCATTGTTTTTTTTTTCACACCCATAGTTCCGCCATCGATGCCATTATGGCGGTCAAGCGAATGAGTCCAACTTGTCATATTGCCGTTGGTTTTTGTCCATGTGCCGCTGTATCCGGGCTGTTGCACAGACGGCAGTGTGTGAATCCCATCCCTCGCTCTGCGTTAGCGTTTCTGCGTCTCCGTGCGTGGGATCGGGGGCTGAGCGGGGTGTCCATGTACTTCTGCGTCCGCCTGTGCCCCGTATCTGCTAGCTGGTATCTGTGGTACCTCCGCGTGGAGCAGCGAGACCTTCATTCGCTGGTATCTACAGCAGAGTGCGGGCGCTGTAAACCGTTATAAAATCCTCACTTTTGAAGCTGCCCGTCACAGATCCCGTATTTGTTTGCACACATTAGCAGACAGATATTTGGCAGCGTGCTCCATGGCTGTTGTGAAACATTAGCGTCAGGAGTGTCATACCTTCTGTTCGATCTCTGACGAATCGCTCTGCCTTTACCTTCACATCCAGCCGCAATCTGCCCGTGGCCCCCGTGCTTTGAAATGCGATGCGCTTCCCATGATGTTTGTACTATTTCTTATAATCCTTTATCAAAACTGCTTTACGATATTACTCTTAGCTCTGGTGATTTTTAAAAAAAATTGGTTTGAGTATCTTCTCAGGGGTACGACAGCAGTGTTAGGTCGGGGATCTGGACCTTGAAGCACCACACCTTCTGCTGGTGCCTCCCCATAGCCCTTTAGCTGGCTGCATGTTTGTTTTCTTATGCCACTGGTCCTGCTGTGAGCTAAATCCTCCCCTTACTTGTTGGGCAAGTTATGTCAGGAAGTTAAGCCTCTTAGGAATAACTCAGCAGATGATGTCATATCCCTCTATCTACAGGCACTGGGTCGCTATAAGCCTTTTATCAGTTAGTGTGTGTCATGCGGTTGGTGTGATCTGGCTTCTTGTCCTGTCCTTTGCCCACACGTTGGCGGACTCCCCGCCCTATCAGCCCAGGCTGTTTCCCTCCGTCACTCTCGCTCTGCCTCTGCTGGCTGGACCCTCTGTAGAGCACAGGAGTGCTGAGGTTTAGCTTCCTTCCCATGTGCGGGTCGCCAATCTGGGTGCTCAAGGCGTCGTCTTGGCTCCTGCATGGGCGATTCTAGGAAGGTGGGCATAAGAAGGATCAAGCTTATCATTAGCCAATGATATGTTTTGAATCGGTGAGTGACAGCGGAGGGGGCACTCCAGGGGCCAATTAGCTTTCAGCTTCAGCTGCTGCCCCTGTCCCCCCCCCTTAAATATGCCCCTAGCTACCTGCCCCACGGCCCAGCTGGCTGACCCTAACGACTGACTTCCAGGGTGCTGTTTAGCCGCTAGCTCTGTCAGGGATACGGACTCTGTGATCTGTGACTGCTGTTAGATTTACTAACTTATAAAAAAAAATAAAAACAGATGTGCCCAATAATTTTGTCTTGTTTTTTCCTCCGGAAGCTGCCAAGTCCTGTACACTCTATTTTTACCCGCCGTTGTGGAGCACGGCTGTCAGTGGGAGATTTGACAGGGAATGGAAAGGGCCTCCGTTACTGTAGCAACAGTGGTTCTGGGGTCTCCTTATTATACAGACACGAGTAACTTTTACTCGCGCCGAAGTCTGCCTGACGGAAGGGAGGGTTACTTTTTCCCCTTGTGTGGCGTGCCCGTGTCTTATTGCCTTTTTTCCCAGGGGGGTAGGGGCGGGGGTGGGGGGACTGCTAGGACAAATGCTTCATCCTTCCTTTATTCGTAACTGTGTCTCCTGTACAGGGTCGTAGTGGATGCTGTTTTATTCAGACGTTCGCCTGTGCAGCACGCTCGTTAAACACGGACATTCGTCGTCTGTGTTAGCTTACAGGCGAGAGGAAGATTACAATTTAGCTGTACGTGACGCTAGCTTTACAAATGGAAGGAGGCTTTCCAGCACGCCCCCCCCCCCCCCCCCCCAGCGGTCAGGAGAGGGACCTCGCCGCTTGGACAAGGAGAGGGACCATTTGGAGGCGTGACTCCTGCGCCAGTGGCGGAGCGCGTGTTGTCGTGGGGACGGGGCAGCACTGATGCGCCTCGCTGCCAGCGGCCTCGTTTTCCTTGTTAGTTCTGAGAAAAATGGATGTTTTCTTTTCTTACCGCGGTACTTTTTCTTGTAACTAAATCTTCAGTGAATCGAATGTGATTTGAAACCAGCAGCCTGGTAAAAACTGCATAACAATTCATGTTCTGTATATATTTCTGGGCTACATGTATCCTATGTGCTGTTTCGGGCAGCTAAATATGAACTGCTGACTTGCTGGCAGAGGTGCTGAATATGAGGTTTTGTTGTTCGCTATGCATGTTCTTGGAGAACATGGGTGTTCCTGCGGGAGCCGTGCTCTGGGCGAGGGGTGCAGGTCTGCCTCCCTGTGTTTTGCTTTGTGTCGATCTGCCGGACGTCGGTTTTGCGGTCCTTACGCGTATCTCTTCCTGTCCAGGCCCAGGTATTAGTCCAGTCAGCAGCTGTTAGCTAGCGGGACCAGGACCGCTGGTCTCATTGGACCTTGGAAGCCCCTGATGCATCCAGGCCCATTACAGAACAGAGATGGGTAACAGAGGTTGAGGGGCCGTGAAGGTCACATAATGAGTGTGGGGGGG